CCCCAAAACCCCAAAACCCCAAAACCCCAAAACCCCAGATCATATGTCGGGACTGAAAGGCTATAAATTTCAGCGATTTTTTAAGATTTATAATAAATATGAAATTTCCAAACTGAGAAGCAAGTTCTTGCAAGAGCCAATCCCAGCATTACATACCTCGTATGGAAATATACGCCTGCACCTTGCATAGAGATACTGAATACTCATATTTTAATCACAACTCTATCCCTCTTGAAAGTCCTGAATCGACTAAATTACTTCTCAAAGTTATCGAACAATGCAGGAAAGACTTACTAATATCCCCACAGATGTTCGGCTACCTCGGCCCTGAGTCTGAATACAGTGCTCTGAACTCGACTCTTGTAGAAGGCAGAGAACACATTATTAATGAGCTACAGAGAGCTATAGAAAATCATGATTTTCCTGCTTTTTATTATATCTCCAAAGAAGCCAAGCAACTAAAAGATCTTCTGATGAACGATCAAATATTCATGAAGCATTCTGCAGCCAAGGGCTGGAAAGATTCTTATGCTGTACTTGAAGGTTCTGGTAAGGAGAGTGCTGAGTTCATTAAAGTTGAACTAAAGGAGAAGTATGATAAATTACTTAAAGCAACTTCAGCTGGATTACGACAACAAAGACATCGGATCTTGGAGCAAACAGAACAAGAGAAATTAATCTGAGATGGAGAAGTGAAGGAAGTTAAAAACAAATTGACCAAAAAGAAACAAAAAATCAGACAGCTTAAGAAGGATCTTGAAGAAAAGACGAATAAAATTAATCAACTCGAAGATAAACTCGAAGAAAATGAAAAGTCAATAAAGAAACTTAAAGGAAGAAAAAATAAATATAAAGATACAATATCTGAACGAGAAGCTCAATGTGAGCTAGAGCTAAAAGAGTGCAAAAACTCATACAAACAAAAACTTGAACAGTGCAAAGAGAGGCATGAACAAGAAATAAAAACCTGAAAGAAGGATCATAAGGCAAAAATAAAAGATCTAAAGAAACATATCCAAAAAGACCTGGAGACTACAGAACAAAACTACATAGAGGAAACTAAAAGACTCCAACATAATTGAGACGTTCTGGAAGAAGAAAGCAAGGCAAAGGATGCTAGGATGTCTGACCTTATCCAAGAATATAAAGTAGCGGTGACTAAATTAAGATATGCTCGAGGTGAAAAGGAGTTTATAAAATGCATGTTTGAGCGACAAATTAAACAATACTCGATCCGAGAGCTAAACTTTCTCAGCTCACAAGTAAATCGCCAAAAATTTGCTTCTTCTCAGTATAATGTAGTACCAAAAGTTGATTTGAAGCTTGAAGATTCTCAACTAAGTCTAGCACTTAAAAACAAGAGGCATTGGTATTTATTCAAGCAATTGAATAAAAGATTGCCAAACCTTATCAGACTTGACATTGACTCGATATTGTCACCTCAAATAGGCCAAGTTCATAATTTTCTAATAAAATTTTTCCCAAAGGAGGTAGATAAGTTCTATTTTCATCACAATTCTGAGCTCATTCCTGTTGATGAGTTTTCAAATGGATTAGTAATGATAAGTGAAAAAGTAACTAAAGAGCTGAATATCTATAACTTTGAAATCAGCGAAGACTATCTCATCAGACTTTTGTATCTTAATAGAATGAAAGAGGAACTAGGATTCATAGATTGCAAGCTAAGCCTCACAGATATCTTGCAGATTGATAATATTTTAAACGAATGTAAAATTTCACAGCTGTATCTTGCAGGCTGTGGGAATGCTAGCCTTGGAGATTGGGCTAATAACTTATCAGAATTCGAAAATTTTGTCTCATGGATTTCCAAGAGTGCAGCATTTAAGAAGAGCTTGAAGAAAATCTGTATGCGCGATTGAGGTCTCTCTAACGATGAAATTGAAGATATTTTCCAAAAGTATGGATTCACAAAAGTGTTTATTTCCCTCGACTGGTAAGCACCAAGCATTAGTCATTTCAGAGTATCAGAAGTATGTTTCTCCAACAAAGTCTACATACTTAATGGCAAAATGTTAATGATTAAAATCATTAAGTAATCTGCTTATAAGCTAGGGTTCAACTAGTATTGTTTGTTTTGGGGTTTTGGGGTTTTGGGGTTTTGGGG